GCTGGATCACACAGGACCTTGGCACCACGTGTGCTCCGAGAGTGAGGATGTGGAACTGGAAGCGGTAACACCTCAGGGAGGCTTCAGAGTGGTGCTGAACCTGGGTTATTGCTGCATTCTGGCTGCCAGCCCACTCAGGGGCATATTGCAGCCGGGCAGAGCTTTGAGGTGGGCAGAATAAACTCCCCGTGGAAGGAACCTCCTGGGCAGGCACACCCCCTTCCCTGGTGACAGTCACAGACAGGCTCCGGGAGGGCTCAGCCCGTGGCTTTTGCTTCTTCCTTTTTCCTACCAAAACAAAGAGAGATGTGCTTTCAGCTTCCACAGTAGTGTGGAGATGAAGGTGAGATTAAGAAGAGACTTGTGTGTGGCACAGGACTTGTCCCAGTGGTTGTTGATACCCATCACCGAAAAGTGACATTGCAGCTTCTCTCTGCTGGGCTGAGATCCCCGTGCTGAGCAGCATTCCCCAGGCTCCAGGGCCCCGGAGTGTCTTTCCTGTCCCGGGTGTGTCTTTGCCATGGGCACTGAGGAGGAGGTGGAGCTGAAGCTGCTTTGGGGGGACCTCACCAGCCTGCAGTGAGCTGGATTTAGGGGTGTGTGGTGCCAAGGCCATGCTGCTGCCGTGTGCTGGCCTGATGCTGTGGAGGCTGAAGACGCTGGGCACTGGAACGGTACCCAGGGAGGATCTTGGATACACGTGGAGGCAAGGAAGGCCGTTTTGGGACCTGGGAAAGCAGAGCCTGGGGAAGCCCAGCCCCAAATGCAGGTGTCTCCTCTGTGCAGTGCCAGGGTTGATTTGGGCTGAGGGGTCAAGCTGTGCCCTGGGGAGGGGCTCTGGTGCGGGAACACCAGTCAGGCTGGGTGCAGGAGGGGAGATGGGGCAGGGCCAGGGCAGTGTTCCCACTGTCCCACTGCCTTGGGGAGCATCTGGGGGAGCAGAGCTGCCTCCATGGATTCAGCACAGCCTGTGCTTGTCCCCTGCTCCGTGGGGATGTGTGGCTGCACCCTGTTTGCAGTTGACAGAGAGGGGCCATGAGCCCTGCTGCCACCACCAGCCCCTGCGCCGGTCACTGGGGTAGCAGTGTCACTCCAGAGCAGGATGTGCAGGAGCTCAGCAACAAAGAGCATCCCCCAGAGCAGCATCAGGGACCTGCTGGGAACTCCCCATGCCATGCTTAGGTTCCCTGTTGGCCGGTGAGCAGGCTGGGATGCTGCCACAGCCACAGGGCTCTTCATCATTTTCTTTCCTCTGTGCCAAAAATAAGTGCAAAAATAAGTCTCTCTCTCTCTCTCTCTCTTTGTGTTGTGCATGGGAGGTGACTCTGGCCATGAAGGGGAGGAACAGTAATAAGGGAGTTGGGAACAGGCTCTTCTTAGCCCCTCTCAGGGCCATATGCAGCCCCGGGAGATGGGGTGGGTGGAGGAGCAGCAAGAGCTGCAGCTGTCAGCACTGCCATCCTTGTGAGGATGGAGCAGCAGCCTGAGCGGTGGCGGGACAGTGCCATGACCCGCTGTCCCTCTTGCAGAGTCCAAGGTGCTGGTGTGTTGCCCTGCCTGGAGCCCGAGGTCCCGCGTGCCCACCCGCCTCCCGACGTCACCAATGCGACCATGG